TTAGCTTTATAGTGATGGTTCAACCTCGTTTTCGCAACTTGGTCGGAGCGTCAACGTCATATCACCTATTTACCTATTGACACCATTCTTTTCACTAGTATCCTCCAATGTCGCTTAAGGTGTCTCTATAATTGGATTTATGGAAGCGTAATTACCTTTGCTCCAAGTTTCAGATGACATTTGTTGGGCTTCTGGGTCATGTCTTCTTACTTGCAGCTAGCCCCCCTTTCCACCCCACTTATCAATTGGTCCCTGCTACACATGAAACACACTGTCTGGCTGTCTATACGCCTTCAATTCCTGGCCCCGGTAACGTCATATTTAAGGATTTAGAGCAGATGCTGCACTTGCCTAGGCAGTTTCCTCTCCCTAAGCTTCAAACCCATCACCCAGTTATCATCTTTCTCCTACCCACCCACATCATTCTTTTGGTCTGCATGCCCGGCCTTATGCGGAACCGCTAGTGTAAAAATGTACCGCTTCCCTTTTCCACCCCTTATTGGCGTAAAACACACTCCTCTTATCTCTCAAATGGACAAAGCCATCTAATAGGAGATGTATTCACCCTATTTCGTCTAAGGTGATTAAGAACTGGTAGTAGAATTTTCCCACAATGATATGAGTTGAGCTGACGTTTCCATTGAATTTCACATAGCCTTGGCCAAAAGTTGTTCTCATCCAGGGTGGACTGCAGTTTCGACCTCGCATCGGTCTTATCAACACCCCAGCGGGGCAGTAGAATTTTCCCACAATGATATGAGTTGAGCTGACGTTTCCATTGAATTTCACATAGCCTTGCTTTCCGTGGTAGAATTTTCCCACAATGATATGAGTTGAGCTGACGTTTCCATTGAATTTCACATAGCCTTGCTTTCCCAAAGTTATTCTCATCCAGGGTGGACTGCAGTTTCGACCTCGCAACGGTCTTACCAACACCCTCAGCGGGAGTCGAACCGCGAAAGCGCAGGATAGGAGCGTGACACGCTAACCACTCGGCTACACTGCCACGAGTACCCTTGAGTCACAGGGCATAAGTGAATTTCAAGGGGGGTCAGGCCTATGCTATATCATATTCTTTTTGGTGGGATTGCCGATGAAGCAAACGTATGTTTGCTATATGGTCAGGCCTCTACTATATCATATTCTTTTTGGTAGGAGTGCCGATGAAGCAAACGTATGTTTGCGGTAGCAATCGACAACGTCCAGACATCTTGCCATATCATATTCTTTGGTGGGAGTGCTGATGAAGCAAACGTATGTTTGCTATCGCAATAGCCTCTGCTATATCATATTCTTTTAGTGGGATTGCCGATGAAGCAAACGTATGTTTGCTATAGTAATCGTCCTCATTGCTATTTTATATTCTTTGGTGGGAGTGTCGATGAAGCAAACGTATATTTGCTATAGCAATCGAGACTATATGAATACATCTCATATTACTGATTTACTGGTAGTTTTGAAACTCTACTCCAATAAGAAAATAAATAACGTAGTCAACAGCAATGGGGCTTGACCTTCATTGAAATTCACTTATGCCCTGTGACTCAAGGGTACTCTTGGCAGTGTAGCCGAGTGGTTAGCGTGTCAATCTACCGTCCTGCACTGTCGCGGTTCGCTCCCGCTGAGGGTATTGATAAAACCGATGCGAGGTCGAAACTGCAGTCCACCCTGGATGAGAACAACTTTTGGGAAAGCAAGGC